TGTTGTGGTAGTGAATATCCAAGGTTGTTATTTCAAGGTTGATCTGTGTGTCATTGAATTGAGGAGTTTGGGAGTTATTTTGGGCATACTGTGGCTAAGCTCTTTGGGAAGGGTGATTCATGATTACAGTGAAATGTCAATGGAGTTTAATTGGCAAGGGAAAAGGGTGGTACTGTGTGGTCAAGGAAGCAAGAAGGTGGTCTTACAACAATTGGGCAATTGTTTATCATTTTCTGGACAAGATGCACATTGGTGGGAACTGAAAAGGAAGCAAGGAGGTGGTCTTACAACAATTGGGCAATTGTTTATCATTTTCTGGACAAGATGCACATTGGTGGGAACTGAAACACTGCTACCCGATTTAACAGCTTTGAAGGAAATAATTCCTTTAGAGGTATGGGGTGTTCTAGTCAACTATCAATCAGTTTTTCAATCACCACAAGGCTTACCTCCAATGAGGGATTGTGATCATGCCATTCACCTACTTCCAGACTCTAAACCCGTGAATGTGAGGCCTTACAGGTATGGCCATAATCAAAAAACTGAGATTAAAAGGCAAGTAGCTGAGTTGTTGCAATCGGGTTTAATCAAAGCAAGCCATAGCCCATATTCCTCACCAGTTTTGCTATTCAAAAAGCAGGACAATTCTTGGAGGATGTGCATAGATTATCGGGTCTTGAATGCTATTACCATTAAGGATCGTTTCCCAATTCCAACAATTGATGAGCTCCTTGATGAGTTGAAGGATGCTGTTATTTTTTCCAAGTTAGACTTGAGGAGTGGATGCCATCAAATAAGGCTGATTTCAGAAGATACGCAAAAAAATAGCTTTTCGTACTCATGAAGGCCATTATGAGTTCATGGTAATGCCATTTGGATTGACCAACGCTCCTTCTACCTTTCAATCGGCTATGAATCAAATGTTTCGCCCCTATTTACGAAGGTTCATCATAGTTTTTTCTGAAGACATCTTAATATACAGTGGGTCCTTCTTGCAACATTTGGATCATCTTCGGTTAACATTGGCATGTTTACAACAGAATCACTTTATGGTGAAGCTTAGCAAGTGTGGTTTTGCTTTGTCCGAAATAGCTTATTTGGGGCATTTGGTTTCTGGTGAAGGAGTCAAGGCTGATCCAAAGAAGATAGAGGCAATGTTGCAATGGCCTCAACCCAAGAATATTAAGCAATTGAGGGGGTTCATAGGCCTTACTGGATATTACCGACGTTTTATCCGACAATATGCTTGTGCGGCAGCTCCTCTTACTGATCTCTTGAAGACTGATGCTTTTGTGTGGGGTGTTGAGGCTGAAAAGGCTTTTTCTTTATTGAAAAAAGCAATGACTACCACACCAATTCTATCCTTGCCTGACTTCTCCTTACCTTTCATTATTGAGACAGATGCATCCTCATTTGGGATTGGTGCTGTACTGCTACAAAAAAATAAACCAATAGCTTTTTTTAGCAAGAAATTGGGTCCTCGAATGCAGGCTGCTTCAACGTATGTTAGGGAGCTTTTTGTTGTGACCAAAGCTGTAAAAAAATGGCGTCACTACCTGTTGGGTTCTAGATTTATAATTAGAACTGACCACAGAAGTTTAAAGGAGCATTTATCTCAAACTATACAAACTTTGGAGCAGCAGAAGTATGCCAACAAGCTTATGGGGTATGATTTTTCTATTAAATACAAACCTGGTATCACTAATATTGTTGCTGATTCTTTGTCCCGAAGAGATGCATAAGAGGATATCGGTAGTTGTTTCGCCCTTATGTCAGAAATTTCATTCAAGATTGTTGATCAGATTAAGCAGGAGAACAGAACAGACCCTGAATTGCTCCTCACTCATTCGAAACTGCTGAAAGGTGAGTGCTCTGATCCCTGTGTGTCTGAGAGGAATGGCATTTTATTCCATAAACACCGCTTCCTTCTTAGTTCTAATTCTTAATTGAAGCAAGAGTTACTGTCTGAAGCTCATGCTACTTTATTGGGGGGCCATGCTGGTGTGACACGTACTCTTCTTCGGTTATCAGCTTCTTTTTATTGGCCAAAAATGAGGAATGATGTTAATCAATTCATTAAAGAATGTGCTACCTGTCAGTTTGTGAAAACAGCCACCACTCCTCCTTTTGGCTTGTTGCAGCCCTTGCCAATTCCTAATGGTGTGTTTCAAGATATTAGCATGGACTTTATAACGGGACTTCCAATTTCCCGTGGCTTTTCTGTGATCCTTGTTGTGGTAGACCGCCTTACAAAATATGCACATTTTGGTGCATTATCTCATCCATATACAACAGCAAGAGTGGCTGCCCTGTTCTGTGATATAGTAGTGAAGCTCCATGGGTATCCTAAAACTATTGTTTCTGATAGAGACAGTGTATTCTTTAGTCATTTTTTGACCTTGTTGTTTAAATTTAGTGGCACGAAGCTGCATACCAGTACCGCCTATCACCCTCAATCCGATGGCCAATCGGAAGTTACAAACAGATATTTAGAACAATATCTTCGTGCTTTTTGTTCTGATGAAGATCATAGATGGTAATTCTATTTGGGATGGGCTGAGTTGCATTACAATACAGCCCATCATTCTTCTATTGGCATGAGTCCTTTCCAAGCATTATATGGGAGGCTGCCCTCCATGATCCCTTATTACCATCACGGCTTGGTGAGGGTGGAAGCTGTGGATTCTACTTTAACTCATCGCAATGAGTTATTAGCTCAACTGAAGAATCATCCACAAGGAGCCCAAAATAGGATGAAGGTGCAAGCAGATAAACATATGAAGGACATCACTTTTACTGTGGGTGATCTTGTCCTTGTGAAACTTCAGCCTTATAGGCAGATCACGGTTGCCAAAAGACACAATCAGAAATTGTCAAAAAGGTACTTTGGCCTTTTCCCTGTTGTTAGAATTTTAAGTCCAGTAGCTTATCAATTGCAGGTGCCACCTGGAAGCAAAATCCATTCCTCTTTTCATGTCTCGGTCTTGAAACCATTCAAGGGTGATCATCCTAATTTGGTTCCCACCTTACCGGTTCTAACTCATGGAAATTGTCCTGTTCAAGAGCCTGCTGCTGTCCTTATGGCTCGCAAGGGTTCTGGTAAGAATTTTTCGAGTATCCAATATTTGATTCAGTGGTCTCATGCCTTACCAGAGGATGCCACTTGGGAGAATGAGCATGACCTTAAATTGCATTATCCTAACTTGAACCTTGAGGACAAGGTTGCTTTGCAAGATGGGGGTAATGATACAAAGAGAAAGAGTGGAGCCCCTAGTTGGGTGAAAGACTTTATTGTTGATATTCATTAGGAACATATTGTAGATATAATACAATATATAAAATAGTTATTGTGTTGTTAGTTACTGTGTTGTTGTATAAAATAGTTACTGTTGTTGTCATTGAGTGGGAACCGAATGTAAGGTTGGTTATAGTTAGTCTTTGTAATTAGACTTTGCAATTGTAAAGGGTAACGTAGCAATAGTTGTTGAAAACTTGCTTTGTTGTCATTAGCATAAAAGAGATAGATGTTGTAAGGAAGATTCATTCAAAAAAAAAAAAAAAAAAATTGCTCTATTCCTTTTGGTCATTTTTTCTCTCTGATTTAGGGTTCAACCCTCTATCAAAGCAATATTATGACATCTTTAAAATAAACATAAGCTTACAGAATACAATTGTTAATTTTACAAGATAAATGAATTGCAAAATTAGTCTATTAAATAATTACTGAACTACTCCTCAGATATGTTCTAATATATCAAAATTCAGTCCATTAGAGGTTAAAAGAAAAAAGCCCCGTATACCTGCATTTAACAGATTATTAAAATAATGTGAATGCTTTTAAAAAGATCAGAGTTGCAATCACTTTAATAAGAATCAAAGTTCTTTATGAAATTTCATTATCAAAACCTATGAAGACCAGTTTGTGCTATTGAATTGCAATTACATGCCAATACACTGATCCACTGTCATATTTTCACACTCAATTCTATCATTAATTACCAAATTGCCCTACAACAAAGGAATTTAACAATGATAACAACAAACAAATAAACAATAGCATAAAATAATTACACTACAATTAGTCAACATTAAATCCAACTCATAAAGGAAACAAAACAATTGAATTACCCAAGGATTGATATACAAACCTTTAAAACGGCTGGGGTAACTCAAATAAAAAATCACTCCTCATTAGACCCCAACTTGCAAGGGTAAGGATCAAAGTAATCTTTGTACGCAGTCTTACCCTTGCATATTTACACAAAGGTTGTTCCCTGAATTTGAACCCGTGACCTTTCAGTCACCAAAGAGTATCTTTACTACCACTTCAGCTTTGCTCTCTTCTGGAGTAACTCAAATAAATAAATAAAAATGCAGATTATTTTGTGGTTTTAGATAAACAAAAAAAGAGTGCAGCAGAATACAAATAAGAGTTAAAAAGATCCTTACAGATTTTCTTAATATGTGACAAATCCTCGTGGGTTTTATCGATAGAGTATGCGTTCAAATTCAAAGTTTATACTGAGAAGAGAAAATGGTCTAGCCAAAAAGAATCCTCTCTTAACTTCAGTTGATATACCTAGTCACCCTCTCCAGGCATAAGGGATAATTCCTCTTCTAAAATTGAGAGGAAAACTAGATGCAAAAAGATAACTTGCAGTGTTGATGGCTAGAATGACAAGTCATTGTGGCCGGATTACCATAACTGCGGTTTTGGATTTAGAACATTAACTCTGCAGTTTGTTATTTTAAAGAGGACAACATTAATGAATATATATAATATTATTTATGATAATAACAAAATTGAGTAAAAGGCTACTAAACCAAATTTTGTGTGATTTAGAATTAGAGGGTGATTGCATAGTGGCTACAATTGCATTCTGTACATATCATTAATTCTTTATTAGCAAGCTACACAAGAACCATACTGTGCCTGGACTGCATGCTTGATATCTTATTTATAGTTTGATTACAATCAGTCCATGTAGTAATTAAGGGGCAACTTTGGAGCCAGTTAGAAGCTAACTTACAGCCCAATAATCAGAGGCTAACTTATAGCCTAATCGGTAGATAATCAACATAATTATACTTGACCAAGAGCTAATATTCTAGCACTAATTACATATAAAATGGAGCATAGAATTGTTTGAAACAATGCCTCAAACTGGAAATCTCCTAACTCACCAACATATCTTCAAATAGGCTCAACTTGGTCAATCAGGAAGTTCTTCATTCAACACCCCCATCTACAATTTCCAAAATAAAAAATCAAAACAAGAAGTCAGAAATCATTAAAAATGCTTCAAACAAAATACAAAAGAAAAGGAAACAAATATAATTCACTGACGTTTAAAACCAAGAGCTCAGATTTTGCAGCTTGTAGTTGAGTTTCAGCACGTTTGGTTTACACTTTTTGCCAATGCAGCACACCGTTCAATACACTTTTTCTCAGCAACAAATTTTTTTCTTCAAGCAAATGACAGTTTGGGGGTGTTGAAAAGCTAAAACAAATACATGCTTTGTCAAAAGCTTTATTTAGCTAAGAAGAAATGAGAAGTCCATGGACAGCGCATTTAGTGATTTCAGAGCACTGTTTGCTTGATGGGGGATAGGAAATAAGATGATTTTTGTAATAATATTGCTGGGTTCTGGAATGTTTGTAAATAACCTTACATGTTTTGGGAAGATCTCACGGCTCTTGGGCAAAGCAAGAGAAAGTGAAGGAGAGGGAAAGCTCACTGCAGAATAAAAATTGTCCCTCCTGCGTCACAATTCTCAACAACTTCTTCCCACACCCCAATTAATCACCCGTCCCCAAAGGAAAAGTCTAGTGCTTATTCAATTACACACAGAATATTTGGATCAGTCATCAGTGACACTTTCCCAATAATTTATGGATACTGTAAACCACAAACAGAGGAAGTTCTTTTCCTTGCCCAAGGGCAATTACCACTTTATTGTATAAATCAAGTGGCCCAATATCTGTATCTAAGAACTTCAAAAACTTGACTGACTGATAGATGAGAAATTCCATAAAGATGCAACCATTTTGATCCATTTTCATCGTTTGACAGAAATACTTGCATTAGCTATACCTCTTGTTTTTTCAGTTTTAAGAGCTTAAGAATCTCATTAATACAAGGGAAAAATGCTTGTGGGCGAGCACAATAAGGCTGGAAAATAAATATTAATGCTTGCATATCAGCTTCAAATTGATTGATGCCCATCTTAGAGAACCGAATCTCACTTCTGACCATGCTGCCCGAAATGTAGTGATCTAATCCTTCAGCAATACTTCTCCACAAATCCAAGAAATCCTTGGTATTGAGATTTATCTTGACAATATTAAGCCTACTTTTTAAAATATCTAAAGCTTCAACAAAATCAATGGAGACTACTAAATCAACAGCCTCTTCTACAATAACTAGATTTGTATCATCTTGGTCTTCCTCAAAATTATCTTTGTTTTGAACATATTCCCAAGAAAGCATTTCAAATTGTCGAAGAACAACAACAATAATATCCATAAGCCAGTTGGTTTCCATTTCAGACAAGCTTCTTATTTCTTCATCATAAAAGCAGCCCTTATCCATTATATCATCTGGGATGCACTTGCCAGAATCATTTTCAGCAATTTTCATCTCCAAAAAATCCACAGTGTCGCTCCATTCTTGCAGTTTAACCCAAATATATCTGGCAGCATTTATTAGCCTACACGCTCTAACTATGGCAACATCATCAGAATTATCAGGACACAATTCAGTTCCCTTGAACTGCAAAAGTAATATCTTAAAGAAATACCAGAGGAATCTTCCTGTCGTAGATCTAATAAATTGTGCACGTGATAAAATGGATGGCATAGTTTGGCAGTGTTCAATCATTTCCCAGATAATTTTAAGGAACGATTCTGCAATAGGTGGAGCTTTGTGATCTTCTATAGTAGATAGCAGATATTCCTGATCAGTGTCAACCCCAGATTTACCTTTGTTAGAAAATACCCATGCTTTTTCCTCTTTTAGTTCTGCACTAAGTTTCTTCCAGGCATTTTTAAATTCTATTTTTGCCCAGATCTTCAACCAATCATGCCTATCACAAAATATTGATAGCACTGACATGCCACTTGAGAGCCCTTCAAAACTTTCGGACTCTGCCAAAAAGCAAGTATCCAGATTGACAAGAGATTGCATCCTTTTGTCAAAAGCAATGATAAGGTCTATGAGGTGAAGCCATGAAGATAATGTTTCAGGTTTCAAATGCTTTACTTTGTATCTTTCAGCAAGAAAGGAGAAAACTTTTTTCCCTAGAAAGCCTGAAAGCATTCGGACCATTGCAGAGACCCATGCCTCCTTGGCACTAAAACTGATAAGCCTTGCCTTGTCAATAAGAGGCTGCAAGACATCATCTACTCCTGTAATAAAATCTTTGGTAACCTTATACGCCAGAGCAAAAATATATTCTGGCTGCTCAGTCCATTTGGCAAAATGGTACTCCATCCTTGATGCAATTGGAGACACTAGTTCATCAATGGCCCAAAGCTGTATATTCTGCTTCTCTCTTTTCATAAGATTATTAAGCTGTCTTTCTTCCCTCCTATTTTGAAGATGTTGCAAAGCACAAAGAGCTATAAAACTTTGAGAGTAATTTCTTCTTTTATCTTCTTGCATTAGAACTAAAGGATTAGGAAGCCCTGTGGTTTGTTCACTTTCATTTTTTGACGGAATCAGTTTTGGGGGCCACCCAAGAGAGGCAAGAAGAGCGCGATGATCTGCAAAAACTTGTGGCCTGAGAGCAGCCACGATTTTATCTACTCTAATGTCAACAGACCTCAGAAGACAATGCCACTGAGGATGGAATTTCACAGCAGTGATCAATAATTCTTCAATATCATTCATGTATTTTATGGCTTGAAGTAACTTGTCATGCTTTCTAGCAGTATCCTGCAGCACAGAAGTACATTCATTCATAACAATCCATGTCCAGTAATTAATGTAAAATTCCAACAGACATTTACCAACTAACTAAAATGGGAACAATATTTACTGCAGAGATAGATGAAATCGAGAGCTTCACTGAAAACATATTCCCTGTGTGGCAAGCCATAACAAAGAGAGCAGCATCTTCAAGATCCCCAACCAGAGCTTCCAACTGTACAGCAGCCTCTGTGACGAAATGCAAGGTAAACTTTACAGCTTGCTTGGTCAAGAAACGCTTGATCAGAGGCATCAATCATTCAGCTTAAGAAAATAGTAGCACCCAATCAATTCTATTTTTGACACACACAGTGGACCGCAACTACCAAGCATGGCCTAATACAGGAGAAGATGTAGAATGTACAATAATAATCAACATGAACATCACCTTCATCCTAAACTAGTTGGGCATAAAAGCAAACCCTGGTGCACAAGGTTCCCGAGTTTCCTGAACTTCTCTCTCTTATCTCATCATCAATGAGTGATTATGATTAAATAACATGATCACATCCCTATGAATATAAATAGGGATGAATGCTTACTAGCTTGTATCACATCAAAACATATAAAATCAATACCAATTCCATAATATTCACTTTATTCTCTCTTCTCTTCACTAATGTCACGGTAGAGGTATGATTTCAGGAAGGGGGAGTGTCACTAACAGCTGTTCAATGAAAACACGAAATGCTCATTCATTACCACAATGAACTGACTAAAATGCCATTCAATCAAACTATTCTTGCATTTGTGGCAATTGCATTCCTACATTTCTAGGAGTGGGTGAACCATGAAATCACTCTTAAAATAATAAAAACAACAACAACAACAACAACAATAATAATAATAATAATAATAATAAAAAGGAGAATAATAACTCACGAAGATAACTCCGAACAGACTCAATTCGGTTCAATTCCTTGGCCAATCGAGGAAGCTCCTCATTCAAAACCCGCTGAAACCTCTTCGAACCAATCCCATCTAAAGAAAAAAATAATACTAAGTAATCAACAAAAACAAACAAATAAATAAATAAAAATATATACGGAACGGGGATTATACGGACGTGGAGAAGTGCGGAGGCTGAGATTTTGAAGGTTGAAAGTGAGTTGTTGGAGGGAAGATTTGGCTTTGAAGGAGCGAGAGATCCACGAAACGGCGCGTTTAGTGAGGAGGTTCTGTATATGAGACTCCAGTTGAGAGCATTGTTGTGTCAGGGAGGAGTAAAGAACACGTGTTGATTGGTGGAACAGGTCTCGTTTGGTTCCCAAGTGTTGATCCAGAAACCCTATGTGCTGTGCTGTGAGGTCGCTCATGTTCGCCAAACGAGGAGTTTCACGATTCTCCATTGGTAGTAACTGCTGTGCTGCTCTCTGTTGCGTTGAGTGCTCGGGTATCAAGCTTTGCTTTTTCTTTTCTTTTTTTGTTTTCACAATTTAACTTTATTTAATTTAACAAAATATTTTAATTTTATAATAATTAATGATTTATTTAGGGTGTGCATAACAACCATTCTATTCCTTGACATTATTTCTGAAAAAAAAACAATTCTTTTCTTTCTTTCTTTTTTTTTTGGAAATAACAATTCTTTTCTATTTCTATATCTTAGAACAGTTTCTGAGAAAAAAAATATGTTTGATAACATGTTCTATTTTTATTCCGAGAATGAAAATTGTGTTCGATAACACAACAAATAATATAATAAAAAACAATTTTTATTAAATATAAAAAAATTTCAGATCATCACTTTCCTTTTCATATGGTGTGGTTGTGGTGGTGGTGGTGGCGGCAGCGACATGGTAGTGGTGGTGGCAGTGACGTGGTGGTTGTGACGGCAGTGGCTACGACGATGACGGTGGTAATGGTGGCGGCGATAGTGGTGGGGATGGTTGTGGTGGATGTTACTGCAGTGGCTACGACAATGATGGTGGGGATGGTGGTTGGTGACGGCGGCAATGGTAGCAGTGGCATGGTGGTGGTGGTTGTGATGGCATCATGGTGGTGGTGGCAGTGGTTGCGGAAGTGGTGGTAGGTGACAGTAGTGGTGTGGTGGTGGTGATGGCGGCAGTGGTGGTAGTAGTGGCGATGGCGTGGTGATGGTAGTGGCGGGGGTGGTGTAATGGTGGAGATGGAGGTGGTGGTGCCGGTAGTGATTATGACGATGGTGGTGATGGTTGGTGGCAGCGGCGGTGGTGACGATAGTGGTAGTTGGTGACTATGGTGGTGATTGTAGCGGTGGCGTCGTGGTGGAGGTAGTGGTGGCAATGGTGGTGGTGGCGGTGACAGTAGTGGTTGCGATAATGGTAGTAGTGGTGGTGGTGACAGTGATAGTAGTGGTGGCGGCGACGGCGGTGGTAGTGATGGGTGGAGGTGATGGTGGCAGTAGCATCGTGGTGGTATGGGGTGGTGACGATGGCACTAGTGATACGACGGCGGCGGCTACGATGGTGGCGATTAGGGATGAAACTGGGCCGGGCGACCTACAGGGGCCTACGGCTCGGCCTACATCAGGCCAGATCTAACCTAGTATATTTTGTATAATAGGCCGGGCTTGGACCTTAAAAATCCTGTTTAATAAAAAGGTCGTAGGCCCACTTTCAAAAGGTCGGGCCTATAAACCCACAGGCCAGCCTATATTGTACTATTTATTTTAAATAAAATAAAATAGAGTAAGTATGTCTTGAAGAAAAAACAAAAGATATAAATTTAATCAATTGCAATTTTTTATAACTTAATTATATTCGATTATATTTTAATAGAAATCTTATTTTATTTCTTATATAGGAGGAACCAATATCTCAACATATTAGATTGTATATATGAATATATTAAAAGATTTTTGGAAGAGTTATACTTACTACAAGCATCATGATTTGTTTGTTGGATTCATGTAGTTATTTTAATTTACATAGTATGGATTTGTTTATTGGATCTGATGAAATATATGTTATTTAGTTTGAGCATTTTGCTTTCGAAAATGACTTAAGTGCATATTGTATGAGTTTTGTTATGATTCATGATTCTGTTTGGACGTTGAAATTATGATTTTTGGTGTAGCAACTGAATTTGAGTACTTTGTAAAGTTGATTCATGGTTCTGCTTGGAAGTTAAAAATTAACAGGCTAACGGGCGAAGCCAGGCCATTTGTTTTTTTATAAACGGGCCAAACCAGGCTAACAATTAGACTCATACTAGGCTTGGGCCAGGCCAAATTAAAATTTTTTGACATAGGCTTGGGCTTTTCGGGGCAAAACTTGGCCCAGCCCAACCCACTTTCACCCCTAGTGGCGATGGTCGTATCAGGATGATGGTGGTGGTGGCGATGATGGTAGAGGTGGAGAGTGATTGAGAGAGATAAGTGTTTCTCATTTTATGCCCGGGAACAAAAAAGCAAAAATTTTCTGATTCTTTTTTTTGTTCCCCAACACAAAAGTTAAATCGGTTCATCCCAGGAACAAAAAAATAAACCAATTTTACCAAACAAGTTTTCTATCCATTTCTGTTCCGGAAACAAAAATTAAAAAAAATTGATTCTGTGAAGGTTGTCATGCACACCCTTATTGTCACCGGCTTCCTTATTTTTCTTTACTCGTTTATGACTAGAATCACATTTGAGTTAGAAAATCATCTCAAAATCAATTTTGCGATTGGTAAAATTGAGTTTCTGATTAGTGAAGATTCTTTACTTCTTAAGTGAATAAAATTGATTTTTAAGCGTGAATCTTAGGGTGTAAATAAATCAGGCGGCTTATCAGAGCCTATATCTATTATTGGCAGCTTGACTTGCTTTGTTTTAAAAATAATATCAGTTTGAATTCATAAAAGACCTCTTTAGAAATTAGGTCACAAGCTTATTTTAAAAGAACTGGTCTCCAAACCTCCGGGCCTAGCCTATATGCTATGTTGTACCGACACTCACTCGGTACATGGGACACGACACAACATGCCAATTAATTCTTAAAAATATCATATTCAAACATGTTAAAACATGTTTTGATATTAAATAATATTTTAATATATAATATAATTTATATTTGATACATATAACAGCCCATAATAAGTAATATAACCAATCAAATATTAAAATTTCATAACATAAATATAAGAGTAAATACCCTTTTTCGTCCCTGGAAATTTTCACAAGGCACATTTTAGTCCCAAACAATAAAAAAGGCTCATTTTAGTCCCTAATATTTGAAAAAATGGCCACGTTCGTCCTTCCGTTAGTTGGCATCTGACGGCCCAACTAACGGAGCACATGTGGGCTGTTACTTTGCTGAGTCACCGTTAAGTATGCCAGCGTAGAAGTAATATGACGTCGTTTTGAACATGTCTTATGTCTTGTTGGAGTTTTGGAAAGCTGAAGGTCCTATTTGGTCCCTGACAAATTTATCGAGGCCCTATTTGGTCCTTAACACTAAAAAACCACCATTGCAGCAAACCTTTCAAACCACCAACCACAAACCTTTCAAACTACCATTGCAGCAATCCACTGGCCCTACTTGATCTTGAATGTGAACATTATTATGCATGCATTATATATATTATAAAACCAGACAAGAAGAGCTAGCAAGACAAAAAATGTATATATATTATTCATGGAATTTATAGATGTTGGGGGTATGCATATGTAATGGTGGTTTACTGCAATGGTGGTGCGTGTGAGAGATGGCACATGCGTGTGTTTTTCCCAGGTTTACTTCGTTGAGTGCTTGGTTGAAAGTTTTGTCAACACCCAGAAGCCAAAGTTTGCATTTGGGGTCCTGGGGTTGATGATAAAGCGTGGTTTTGGGGTTAATGTTTATAATGTGAATCTTGTGTTGAAGGGTTTTTGTCGAATTGGTGATTGTGACAAGGCCATGTGTTTGTTTCGTGAAATGGGGAGGAATTGTGTGTATCCTGATAGTTGTAGTTATACTACACTTATAAATGGATTATGTAAAGCAAAGCGATTGGAAGAAGCGAGGGATTTGTTTGAGGCGATGAAGGTTGGGGATTGCAGGCAGAATTTGGTGACATTTGGTGCTTTGATTGATGGTTTTTGTAAGAATGGGGCAGTTGATGAAGGGTTGGATTTGTTGGAGGAGATAGGGAAGAAGGGTTTGGATGCATATGTGTTTGTGTATAGTGCTCTCATTAATGGCTTTTGTAACAAAGGTGATATTGAGAGGGGTAAAGAACTCTTTAATAAGATGTTGAAAAAGAAAGTTGCTCCGAATGTGGTTACTTATAGCTGTTTGATGAATGCTCTTTGCAAGAATGAGAAGTGGCAAAAAGCTTCCAAAATGTTGAATGATATGACGGCTAGTGGAGTTCGTCCTGATGTTGTTGCTTATACAGTTGTAGCTGATGGACTTTGCAAAAATCGGAGGGCGTCTGATGCACTCAAAGTGTTGGATTTAATGATACAAAAAGGGGAAGAACCGAATACTTTAACATATAATGTCATCATAAATGGACTTTGTAAGGAAGGTCGGGTGGATGATGCTCACAGGATTCTCGAAATTATGGCAAAGAAGGGGAAGAAACCTGATGTTGTTACCCACAACACATTATTGAAAGGACTATGTGGAGTTGGAAAAATTGATGAGGCAATGTGTAAGAACCCACACCGTTAATTAAGGAAGTTAATTAATTAATTATGTGAAATTAGGAAATAATTTCATAATTGATCCTAATAATTATTATGAGGCTTAAATAATTATGGTAAGTGAGTAATAATGCTGAAAGTCGATTTTCTGACAAAAAGTGCAGATATCGGTTCCGCTACTCGGTATAATTGCGTACCGATGAAGTATCCCAGAAAATTATGAAAAGTGTGTATATGTCACTAGAATAATATATAGGACTTGTTAAACGAGTTTCAAGTCAAAATAATGAGAACTGGTGCCGGAACTGATACTGGCTATGGAAAAATGCGTACCGAAAAGGTGCTGCAAAAATAAAATAAAAATATGATAAATCTTAAAAAAAATGAGTAGGTTCAAATTCTAAAGTTTGAGATTAAAATTATAAGTGTAGCTATTAGTGCTAATAATGTGGGATTAAATTGATGAAACTTTAAAAGCTAAGGGCACAAAACCCTAGGCCATATTTTTGGCTGCTACGTGAGGCTTGTGAGAGTTGTCCACCTTCAGCCATCTTCCTCCCTTCATGAACTTGAGCTCCATGCACCTTTGAGAGCCAAGAACTCATCTTTTCCCTTTTATTCCTTCACACTAAACCTTGTAAACACCTTGTAGTTGATTGTGAGGAGGTTGAGAAGCCTTGTTGTTGAGTGTGACTTCTGGTTTGTAGGGTTTGGTGGGCTAAGTTTTGAGTTTGGGTTGTGAGGGTCATCTTCTTGGCTTGTGGATCTTCAAGAAGCTACCTTTGTGAAGAAAGGACCCATCTTTGTGTGCCATTTTCGTGCACCTTGTGAAGTCAGACTCGAGGAGCTGTTGGTGAGCTCCAAGAGCACCTTCTTGCTCTATTTTGAGCTTGGGTAAGTGTCACCCACCTTGATCATGAGTTTTAATGGTTAAAAGTGGAACCTTGATGCAAGTAATGAATTAAAGTTAATAACTTAAGGTTGGGTAAGGTTAAACACACCAAGAATTGCATGTTTAAGCCTCTGGAACCATGAAACGAACCACCTTTGGATTGATATCTCGCGAGAATGCAGAATCTGAGTTCTGTCGCGAAATATCCGAATATTGAGTTAGAAATATCCGGATATTGATATCTGGATATGGGGTTCTGAATATCCGGATATTAATATTCGGCTATTGCCAGACAGATATCCGGATATGTCCTCGACGAATATCCGGATATGTCCTCGACGAATATCCGGATATTCTGGGTTTTCGTAGAACAGTAGCTGCACTGTTCATACAGAATATTTTTATGGGTTTGTGGACCCTAGATTGATGAAGTGGGACTTCTATAATAATTGAACTAAGTCAGAATCAAGTGATTAAGGGCTTGTGGCTTTGTGAGAAGCCTTAAGACTTGGAACGTAAAGGAAAAACGTTGTCTTTATGTATATGCTTGTGAGCTATAGTTATTGATATGATTGCTGGTCCAAACCAGATTGTGATTCTGCTGTGTTTGGACTTTGAGCTAGTGTCGACTCTTGGCATTGGATATTTAGCTTGCCAGGTAAGCTTTCGTGTCCTCGGTTTAGCCATTGTATGTTCCACCATGTCCTATAGGAGGATGGTTTATATGCATGATGTGTTTTCATGTACTGTTTTATTGAAATGTTATGGAGCTGTTATGTGCAAAATGCTTATGATATGTATGTGGTGTTTCGCCTAGCCAGGAAGCCATGGGGTGGTACTGGGGACGGGTACAGCATGGGCTGGTACTGTGTGGGTAATAGACGTATTCCTACACTTCTCTGATCAATAGAATTGTTATAACACACATGACATGATTATCTGCTGCATTGCACTATTTTGGAACTTATATTGTGGAACTGCTTTTGAACTTATATAGCACATGTAAGTGAGCTTGGGGTGGAAGATCCTTAAGGACCCCTTGTCTTACTGAAATTTCTTTTTAGAGATCTCACCTCACGTTTGGGGCACATATTTCAAATTCAGGTAGTGCGGGGGTTGAGACCTCTAGCGGCAGGAGGCCGGAGCTTAGCTGATTATATGTTGTTATGCTGCTTCTGTTAAATGCAGGATATTGACTATTGCCTTTTATGCTTTTAACTTCATAATGTTATTGCGAGACTGCTGTGGGGCTTGTTTTCCTTATTTGGTGAGCATGGGATTGTCCATGCCACATAAGACCTCTCACAGTTTCCATATCAAGAAGTGCACCCCCAAACAAAGAGGTCACCGTCAAGTCTCGGAACTTCTCAATTACATCAAAGTCACCCATCATCAAACTGGATAAACTTACGAATTTCTGACTCAAAGCATTAGCTCCCACATTGGCCTTGCCAGGATGGTACTTCAACTCAAAGTCGTAGTCCTTCAGAAATTCCATCCATCTTCTTTGTCTTATGTTCAGCTCCTTCTGGTCAAAAAGGTACTTTAAACTCTTGTGGTCACTGAACACTGCAAACTTCATGTCATAAAGGTAATACCTCCAAATCTTAAAGGCAAAAACAATAGCAGCCAACTCCAACTCATGAGTCGGGTAGTTCTCCTCATGAGGCTTCAACTGCCTCGAAGCATAAGCAACAACTCTTCCAGTCTGCATTAGCACACAACCCAACCCCTTCTTTGAGGCGTCACAATACAACTCAATCTGTTCAGCAGGATCAGGAAGGATCAACACTGGAGCAGTGGTCAATCTCTCCTTCAACTCCTGAAAACATTCCTCACACTCGTGAGTCCACACAACTGGAGTCTCTTTCCGGGTAAGGCGAGTCAGTGGCAATATCATATTGGAGAATCCCTCAATGAACCTCCTATAGTAACCTGCCAAACCCAAGAAACTCCTTACTTCCGTAACTATTTTGGGTCTCTCCCAATCCAACACTGCCTCAATCTTGTTTGGATCTACTGTAACTCCTTCTGCAGAAATCACATGCCCAAGGAATTTCACCGACTTGAGCCAAAACTCACACTTAGAAGGCTTAACATAAAGCTTTTTCTCCTTAAGCACCTGTAACCCAATCCTCAAGTGCTCTACTTTCTCCTCCTCACTCTTGAAGTAAATCAAGATATCGTCGATGAAGACGATCACCAATCGATCCAAGTACGGCTGAAAGATATGATTCATGTAATCCATGAATATCGTCGGTGCATTGGTGAGTCCAAACGGGATCACCAAATACTCATAATGACCGTATCTCGAACGAAATGCGGTCTTGGGGACATCCTTCGGCTTAACCCGGATCTCATGATATTCAGACCGAAGATCAATCTTGGAATACACGCAAGCACCCCTATGTTGATCCAAAAGATCATTAATACAAGGGAGAGGATACTTGTTCTTGATTGTCACCTTGTTCAGCTGTCTGTAATCGGTGTACAATCATATTGTCTCATCTTTCTTCTTAGCAAAAATGACCGGTGCTCCCTGTAACGCCCGGCCACTTCAAGAATTAACGACTATCCCCACATACTAACACGAGACTTTTTAGTATGCTTTTCCTCACTCGCACACTTCCCGGGAAAACTTCTCAGGAGGTCACCCATCCCAGAATTGCTCCAAGTCAAGCACGCTTAACTGTGGAGTTCTTCCGATCCAGGCTACCGAAAAGCAGATGCATCTTGTTTGTATAGGTAGTACCAATTAATTCTTATAAGCTATCCCAAACTGTGCAGTCTTATACCTGCACAACCTTTGGAATCTCTCTCTTTCGGGTGTCGATTCGATTTATTCATGCATGTAACCCCTCGCTGGAAGCTTGTCAGGAGTCGCTCCTTGTCCGTGTCTCTTTGCACCGGCGATCACTCCTCGCCCTCGTCAGCGCTCGGGATGTTACACTCCCCATAGAGACACGCTCGGTCGAATGAAATGCTTCGCGAAAAGATCCTCAAAGAAGTACCTACTAAGGAACAACTCCTCAAAGAATGGCCTTGTGATAATATGACCCTACATCTCATAGACCTGAGAGGTGTTCATCCACCACTCGTGAGCATTTCCCTCCAACATATAAGTAACAAACATCAACTTCTGAGGGTCCGTACTCTGCATCACCCTGAATATCTTGTCCATGGCTTGATGCCATCTCGCAGCAACAATTGGGTCATGGGATCCATCAAAGGAGGGTGGCTTATGCTTTCGGAAAGCATTCAGTCGGCGATCTATGGTCTCTCGATCCTCTATGGGCTCAAGGTAAGGCTGCATCAATCTTGTGAGGTGACTCACACCCTCCATGTGGCTCAAACCATCAGGGTCAGGAATATGCGTTCCTCCACCTCCGTTCCCATCATGGTGACTAGGTGGAAATGGAGGTGGCGGAGCGAACTGGCCCTCATTGCGGCCAACCCTCATCTTCTCCAACATGACCCTCATCATGGTCATTGTAACACCTTGTGTATACCCGGTTTGTTAACATGTCATCGTATTAAGCCATGCTTAATTAAATGAATGCGGAATATCTTTTTCTTTTCAATTATGACGTCATTATACTTACCCAAGTTGATTACTTAAACATTTTCATAAAAACATTGCATGTATGTAAATTGAAAAAGACAGCTAACTGAAATACCTCATACATAATTAAGTGAATATCTAAGTCACGGATCTACAACGCGTAGTCCAGACAATATCCTGATACATTAATACATCATGAAACTAAAATAAGACATAGTCAATCAATGTGGCATGGACAATCCCCATGCTCACCAAATAAGGCAACATAACAACAGAGTCTCAACAAGGTAATCCATAAACTGAAGCTAAAAGCATGAAGAAATAAGCATAATCCAGCATTCAAGCATAAACAACAAATCAGCATAAGCAGCATAAACAGGTATTAACTAAGGTCTGGCCTCCTGCCACTAGAGGTATCAACCCCCTGGTTACCTGAACCTGAAATAAGTGTCCCCAAACGTAGGGTGAGATCTCTAAACAAGAAATCTCAGTAAGACAAGGGGTCCTCAATGATCTTCCACCCCAAGCTCACTTACATGTGCAATATAAGTTCAAAAGAAGTAATTCCATATCA